AGGATTCTTGAAATACTTGATTTGACTCATTTTTTTCTTATTTCAAGAATCCTACCAAGTAATTTTCTTACTCCATTGGCAGAAATTTTTGATTTAATTGTAGTCAGATTTTCAGACTAACAAGAAAAATAATCTTACACATTCTGAAAACAAGATTATTATTCTTACACAATCAGTTCTTGATTAGTAAATAAGTCTCAAAACAAGATCAAAAAAAACTTTTTGGCTGGATATAAGATTTTAAAACTTGATTAGGTGGACATTTTTTGCAGTGCTGCATTTGAGTTGAGGTTCTTTATTTTTATAATTACCTTACATAATGGTTCTAACTTACACTATTATTTACAAACAACTAAGCATTGTTAGAAGAATCAGGGAAATTTCTCATTAGAAACAAGTTAGTTAGCTAGAGCAGGACCTCTTGCAAAGTGGATCATTACTACTTTAAAAAAATGCAATTTTTACGGCATTTAAAATGAATTATTTTATTGCAGTTCAAGCTTTATTTTATTTATATATCAGATAGTTAAACTGTGATTTGAGTGGTKTAAGATGGCAAAAATCCACTTTGAAGCATACATACCTTGGTTTGACTAACCATTAGCTTGTCTCTGATATTGAACAAAAAGATTCTCCAAACTGATAATGCTGTGATCGCTGTCAACTGCAGGAAATATATTATAAGTGCTGATAACTCCACTGAACCCTCCAAAATACATAAACCACCCATTTTTTTTCCTTGTTAAGGGCTAAGGATGTGTTTTCCAGGCAGTACAGTACAAATCCAGTATAACCAAACTATGTGTAGTATAGAACACAATGATTGTTTTTTGACACGCAGCACAACAAAATAAATTACTTTTTTATTTTAACTTATAATTTTACACAACCTTAATGTTCTTATGTCTTTAGTTTTATTGAAGCCATCATCTTATTTTGTGTATCTGAGAATGTGCTGAGCTCCATTTAAGACCTGGTCAAAAAAATAAAAACACAAATATATTCTTTGGAGCTGCCATTTAAACCTTAGAACCAAACTAACCCCTGTGCTTTTTTTTTTTTTTTTTTACCAGAACTGTAGTGAAATCTAATAATGAGTTGTGTGAGGCTGGGAGAAACACAAATGGCTGTATTCACAGTCTGGGTCATTCCACACTATTGCTAAGCAAACACATCCAACGAGATAGAGTGGTGATAGAGGCATGAACAGATTAACCACATCCCCTGTGCTGTCAAAGCCAATCGTATGTGTTTTGACTGTTGTGCTTTCTGCTAACCTCTCCTTGTTACCATTTATTTCACAACACTGACATTTAGACTTATTTGGCCTCCAAATTCTGTACACAAACTGTCAACTGGGAACATGCACTTGTAAACACACATGCTGAACCATAATACTGCAYGATGCGGTGTCCATTTCAAGTTTAAATGTTTATCGTGGTTTCTGTGCTCYATCAGTGTGTGGAAATCACAAGTGGCTAGCGTTTTGGTGTAAACATTGGAGGTAATGTCAGTAATACGAGGGATTAAAAAGAGAGAAGTAGGAGAGAGAAACACAGCAAGTGGGAGAATTTCTGTATCTTGCCTAAGCATGTTTATCCAAACCTGTCTTAAGCATTTCCCTCTGTCAGTCTGATCAACCTCGCCTGTTACACCGTGATGGGTTTATTTTAATTTTATTCCTTTTTTTAAGAAGAAGAAGGAAAAAAAAGAAACCTCCAAAATCACTGATTGCAGCCCCCTCTCCTTAAGAGCCCATGACATTCTACAGCCCACTCATTTAGGTTACACTTCTTTGAAAATCATCACTAGTAACAGGTAAATCACTTTAACCTGAAAGCACATTTCAGTTTACTTTAAAGCAATGTTTGAAACTAGATGTATTATATCTTAGATGCAGTTTTGTGTAAATAATTATAAAAAAAATAGTTTTTACCCATGACATCCAGGTTTTTTTTTTCAAACAGCYGTGTGACATGCCTCCCAAAAGAAAAAAGGCTAAACATTATGTATTAACTTATACTTAAAATCAAAATGAGACTCTAAATATTGAAAAGACCAGACATAATCAGTTCATATTTATACCAGCTTGTAACAATATTCTGTCTTCTGCAAATGATTGGTTTATTTCAGTTTGTYCAATGAGTCATTTTGTCTCCCGTCGCCGACTTACTAATATAARTTTAGGTCTAGGTCAGGGGTCTGCAACCTGTGGCTCTGGGGCCACATATGGCTCTTTGGTCTCTCTGCAGTGGCTCTTTGAAAATGTGACCAAACATAACAGAATACTTTTTTTTGTTGTTTTTTATATTCACAACAGAAATCAATTTGTATGCAAATTTTTGATCAATACTACTAATACAAAAAGCAAAACACGTTAGCTMATGCTAGCCTGTTGTTTTTTTGTATAACTAATAGCTAGCCTGTTGTTTACTTAAATATTAATGAAATTCGGTATAAACTACATACAGTATTTTTCTTATTTACATGAATATGTATTATTTTTATATTATTATTTATTATTATACACATCAGGACAAATTTAAAAAAAAAATATATATATACACTTTTTTATTTTTATTTTTTTAGTTTTATAATGTCACCTCCACTGACCATAAAGGTTCCCGGAAAGGCCTTGAAATGTCCCACAGACCCCYAGTTGATAATCATAGTTGCAGCTTGTTTTGCGGCTCTGGACACATTTTATTAGTGAGACAAGGAGCACAATTGGCTCTTTTGATTGTAAAGTTTGCAGACCCCTGGTCTAGGTTGTAGCACAGTCCTTTTGAGATGTAAGAATTCAGTTGTTTAAGTTAGGTTAAAAATTTTTATGCTGTTGTTTCATTTTCAGCTTTTGTCATGTTTGTTAGTGTTTGTTGTTCCTTTTTAGCCTTGAAAAGCTCAGTTTTTCACCGGCTGCAGGATAAAGCARCATGATAAATCCACCCTGTTAATTCTTCCGTGCAGGTGATATTTGTGCAGGTGTGGTAGAACAGAAGCTCTAATGTGTATGAAGGGGTTTTTTTTCCAATGAAGATCAGATTTTTTTGGTTTTCTTAGCAATCCTAAAATTCAAGTTTTTCTTCAAAATTTAAACTTCAATTTCATCTGAACAGAAGCTTTTTTGATCATAAATTGAAATTGTGACTGTCAGATCTTTAATGGGTAAGCTGCAAAGAAGTAGCTGGGAGCAGCTTACAGCTATTTATGTTTGAAAAACTCATCAAGAGAAACATCTTGAAGTTTTTGTTCCCTGCAGCAGTGTGCCCATTGTTTACAGTAAACCATGAAGAACAGTTTTTCTTTCAGCAGAAGTCAGACACAAGTTTGGGTTAGAAAATATATGTTTCATTGGGCTTCATACTTTTCAGCTCTTTGTCATGAATCTGAGTCATCCTTAACWCATAGTCTGAGCACTAACACCTCACATGAGATCTTGTGCAAAACAGCTTTTTATAATCCGAACAGGATCTTGGTTTTACACAGTTTTGGGACAATTACTTTTACCTTTGAACGAGAGGCTGTGTTTGCCAACACTTACTGCTCCCATAACATTTAGTAGGGAGAAAAAGCTGTGATCCCCCTGAATCCCATTTATACAACATATCTTGCTTCTGTGGGGAGAGTTCATTTACTCTGTGGGGAGATGGGTGGAGGAAGGTAAGATGAAAAGGATGCGGCTGTTCCTGTTGCTTTTTTTCCCCTTTTTTATTATTTTCTTTACAAACACAAAATGTTGATGTTCACTGAGCAGAGATTTAATCATCTTTATTATGTTTTAACCCGTCACAAAGTGAAGCGTGAAGCGACTCAGACAGAATTACACAAAGCCAGAGTCGTCGCTGCTCACTTGTTTCACACAAAGACAGTCGGTGTTGAGAAACTGTACAGCGGCTCAGCCCCGCTTGCTTTCTGGAGCCGTTTAGACTTGTAATTATGTGAACCTGACCTTGGTCAATACGAACGCCACGCTCAGATGTTTGCCCAGCGTCTGATGCTTCCCGTACAATATTTACCTAACATGGCATAATCCCTCCAAAGTCTTCCTGTTTAGACTGACCGATGAGAGGTAATTCCTCAAAGCAGCTCGAGCGTTTGATAGATGAGTGGCTGGATTTCCTCCTCCTGCAGAGCACAGAATCCCATCATGATGTAATTCTGTGCAATTAGCCAAAGATCACAGGAACACAAAGACATAATGAGATTTAATCTCTTTTCAGCGATCTCATGACATCTCTTCTAACATTTCACCAGAGGCCTCTGAAAGGTTGGATTTCTCCTTCACCTCAAGGCCTCTGCTTTTGCTTTTAAAGAATCTCAGCATCCTCCCGTCTTTGTGTCTCTGTTACCTTTGTCACAGCCTCTTCCTTGAATTCCGGTCCATCATGATACTGTGTGATTTTCTGTCACGGTTTCCATCTGTGTTTTTAGAAACAGAGGGGGAGTGTAAGTGTGTGATTATTTTTAAAATGATGCACTGAGCCATTTTACAGTGAAGTTTACTTAAGAAACAATTCATTTCCTTGTGTGTGTGTGTCAGAGAGAGAGAGAGAGAAAGCACATGTGTCTGCGTGTCAGTGTTTTGCCCCTCTCCCCAACTCCACGGTGCATTTCGCTACATTTTGTAAAATGGTGCCAGCCAGCACTTAATTAAGTGTCGGGATGCCAACATGTCCCTGCTGTAACATGGAATACCTGATCCTCTTTTGTTAATTTCTTTCCCTTTTCTTGCGCTCCTCTGTGTCACTTCTACTGTAACTCGAAAAGATGTCGCCTCTGGGAGATGCAGGTAAAAAGCCATCAAAACCAATACGAGTAGAGAGAGTTGCAATCAGTGCACAAAGAGAAGTCTTTTGTGTGGATCTGTCCTCCTTTTCCCCCGTCTCACTTTGTTTCCCAGTGCACTGGTTTGTGCATGTGTTTTTGAAGCTTTCAATTCAGTAGAGGCTAGTTGTAATGTTTCTTTCCCTGTAGAAATGGCTGCTGTTTGTTCAATTGTTGTGATAGATTGATGTGGGGTGGAAAAAAAAAAAAGATGGGCTTGTGCGCACCTGAAGATAGGAACAGAAAAGTCTTTATGGAAACCTAAAAGCTCCTCCATTCAAGAATCCTCTGATGGGAGATGCATTTTGCTGGATATTTCTCTCCTTCTTAGCAAAATCTTTGATAAAAGCTTCCCGGCGTATTTAGGCAGTTCAGTAAAAGACCAATTCCCCCGAAAGGGTGCTTATCATTTTTCAAACACGGCTTACAGTAAGGGAGAGCTTCAACAAGTGGTCACATATTATTTTCTTTTTTGTTTGTTTTCTTAAGTTTGCACAACCCAAAAAAATGGCTGCTTCTGTAAATAACCAGGGTTTAAAAACTACGGAACCCGCGAGGGGACATGGGAGGATTTTTTTTTTCTTTTGCGTTCCCTCACAATATTGTTTTGCATTCCTACGCAAAAGTTTGATTTGTGTATGAACTGAAYTAAATCAGACTTTCATTTTGAAATATCCGGCTACCAAAACAGGATGTGTCGCCACAAGTTCGTGAAATTGACATTGATGTTGCGTAGCTGCACTGTGTTAAAATATCGGCATATGACATACTTYCATGCGTGGCTGTGTGATATATTCATTCTGAAGCTGAATTAAAGCAGTAGGCTAACTCGCTAATGGTGAGCAGGTCAGTTTGTTAATAAACCGGCAGGCACAACAGTGTAACGACTTTTGTGAGGGAACGCAAAAAGAAAAAAAAATCCCCCATGTCCCCTCGCGGGCTCAGTTAAAAAAACTGTTTTAATAAGAGCCGAAGATCAAAAATTGATCATTGCAGTACAAGACTGAAAAGAAGTAAAATAAAATCATAGTCCCAACATATTTCAAGTATGTTAACATGTTTGGATCAATCCAACAGACACTCACTAACCACTAATGTGGTTTAAATGACAGAAGAAAAAGTTAAAGTGAACGGTGGTTTATCATAAAATGTATAGCATCATGTAATGCTAGTTCAATGGTTAGTCATTTTAGTTTTAATGTTCAAGATTTTATTAATAATTCCAGTGTGTTATATATTTTAGCCGTCCTCCAACGCACATGTAGCTTTTTCTGTTACGTCCCAGTTATTCTCTCCTATCCTATTTACTGTATTAAATGCAGTTCAAGCAGCACACAGTAAAGACAGAGGGGCTGTATTCTCTCAGCTGTTTAGCATGCTCCTCAGAGAGGTTAAAGGCGACTGCTTGTCTAGAAATGAGGTTACAGCACTTGGGCTTTCAAATGATTGGCAGGGATGGATTGTGGATGATCTACTTTATTTTCCCTCTTTTTCTATTAAACTGCCCCAATTTTTTTTTCTTTCTTCCTCTTTGTGTACCGTGAAAGCTTGTTTTGAAAAAGAGGAAGGCTGTGTAGGTCATGCTTAAAGAGTGAAGCACAACCTGTGGAAGAGGAAAAAAAAAAAGAAACGAGCACATGGATAAGTAGTTATGATGTGTTTAGACAAACTGCCAGAACATGTTAGCRTTCCTGATTGTGTACAGTATGTAAACGTGTGTTAGGCAACAAGAAGCAGAGAATAGAAAACCTTTCATTTCTCCTAAATCTTGARCCGTCTTCCTGTTGCTCCTTCAGTTGCTCCCCTCCCTCTCTCCCTCCCTCTCTCCTCCTGTGCACCATCTGCATGGTGCTTTGTATCCAATCCGAACAAGGGAGTGATTTCTGTTCACTGCTGTGAAAGTAGGATTGTGTTTGTGTCTCTTAGCCACCGCTTTCACTCTCAGCTCATTACCTGACATGATGGATGGAATGAGTGCCATTAAACAACGTCCAGCGCCGGACGCCTGGCACCCCACAGCAGGCGCTGAGTAATGGGCACGTTGGCAGCCACGCACTTAGAAATACCAGGAGTCCTGTGTGGGTGTGCCTGCAGTCGTCTTCGTGGCTCAGCTTCCTGATTCCGTCCAGCCCCACCTGCCACCTGGCYGCTCAGCGGATGTCCGGGGCATTTGTGGCCAGCCACGCTTTGGACTGCGTCGAGAGAAATATTTGCACGGTTTAGTTATTAAACTAGCAACAAAGAAATCCTCAATTTAATTGCTCGTAATTCTTTAACCAWAAATGTAGCAGTGAAACATTTGCTGCTACATTAAAGGGGCAGTATTATGTGTTTCTCAGGCATATATTTAAATACTATACCATAATAAAGTATCTATGTCATCTTTAGCTGTTAATAAAATGCTGTTTTTAGGTTTAAACAGAAAATAAACATATCTTTTCATCACTTCCTCTTCTAAAYGCCTTGAAATTGGCCTCTGTCTCTTTAAGAACCTCCTTCTACTTCTGTCTCGCCCATTTCAGTGCGGGGGGTCGCGCGCGCTATGATGCAGTTTACTTGGCATCTGAAAATACATTTCCTCAAAGGTATATTGAATYTGAAAAGAGCTTCACTGAGTGAGAAGTAGTGTTGAGAGCAGCAGACAGCTTAATGGTACGTTCACACCGAACGCGTTTTGAGCGGCAGGAGCGGCCGATTCACATGCAAAGTCTATGAGGACGCGCCTCTAGGGGTCGTGCGTCGCGTCACGTACGTTTTGGGCGGCACGCAAGGAAGGCGGAAGGGGCGCAGAGCGTTTTCCGCGCATGCGGTGCTGCGGAAGCAGCCRCCGCCAGAGTTCAAATATCWGAACTTTTCGCCGCTCGACGCGTCTCCCACTGAAAACCGAAACAGACGGACTGGAGATCTTTACCTGAAATCGACCGTGTGCAGCTGGATTTTCTGGCAGGATTTATCAGCACCGATGTGGATCAGCTGCTCGGGACCAAAAAAAGAAAAAAGTCCGTCAGCTGGCAGCTTCCGGAGTGACGAAACTAACCAAACAAATCGCCTCTAAATCATCTGATGAGTTAATTATCTGCTGTGCGCAACATTCGCTTGCTCTTTAGTAAATAAGTCAAAGCCATTTTCTTTTATTTTATCTTTATTCACCCGCCGAGGACACGCTCCTCCCACAYCTCGCTGCTGCTGCTGCTTGTTCTGGTCTGAACACTAGTGCGTTCTTCGGTCTGGAAATAGCGCGTCCAACGAGAGGCATTTTGTGCTTTTTGGCCGCTCAAAACGCGTTCGGTGTGAACGTAGCATAAGTTTCACTTTCAGTTTGCTCTGTTACTGCCGAGAGCCTGCAGGAGTCATGGGTGGGGTGTGTGGGGTG